TGAGGTGATGGTTTAAAATTAAATTACTTGGTTTTAAGACAGCAAGATACTCAATTAGACCTAAAGGAAAAACTGCTATTTATTTTTAACTTACACACCAATGTCTTTAAGTGTGAAATAAACTTTAAACACTTGAAATAGCATAAAAATAAACACAGTGGACTAATTGCTAAATGAGAGCATTGTGGGGATGTGGTGATCATGTGAATAACGTGGCACTGCCACACATGAATAATATGGACAGAGCTGCAGGTGGACTTGATCTTTTGGCCAGTATGGGGTTGAATAAGACTTTGAAATATCTCTGCCATAATGAATAAAGTTAAATTTCTCTCCCCTGTAGTTTTTTGTTGCTGTTATTTATTTTTTATTTTTACTTTATTTTTAAAATTGTACCTACAGATAGAAGAGGTTTCCTGGGATTAGGATGTGTAATTATTTAGGCATGAAACAAAGAGTTGTTTTAGAAATTTTACTATCATTAGAAGGAAGCTTAAAAAGACAGGAATTCCATTGTCTTGTAAGAAGTAAGAAATATTTATTGATTCCCAAATGGAGCTGAAAAAAAACCTTTCCTCTTTTAGAAAGTTGTGAATGACCCAGCGAGAGCTCTAGTAAGCTTTACTGAACCAAGCTGCTAATAGTTATTTAATGTTATTCTTCAGTGTGAAAGAATCTCCGTAGATTTCCCTTTTAATCTCTTTGAATTGCAGGCTCATAAACCTCTCTGATGAGTCCTGCCAGTGTTTTCTTAGATCCCACTGTTGAGACAATGGAGCCACAGAATTCTTTCACCTCTTGTTGGCAGACAAATCCAATAGAACACAAGGTCAGAAGGGCCTATACTTCTAAAGGTTGAAAGATTCTTTTTCAAGTAAGCACATACATTATTTGATTTTAACATTAGATTTCTCAAGAACCTCTCTTTATAATGTACTGACTTCTGTATGTAAATAGATTTGGAAGTTTTTCTTGTTTCCATATTCGGCTAAGCTTGTGAGCACAGCACAGGGTATGAACAGACCTTAATGTTCCTAGATACCTTAGAAAAAGTTGAACCCATTTACTTCAAAAGAATCAGCAATCATTTAGTATCATTGGACTCACTATAAGAGTATACCACATGCTAGACAATGCTTTTTATTTCCAAATGACTGTATTTTGTTTCAAAATGCTTACTACCATTCTATATCAAAAATTCCAAATTTAATATCTTGGATCTGTTCATTTAATTAAATCACTCTCTAAATCAGTTTATGTTTTCTCAAGCCTTTTAGTAGTGTCATGTTAACAGGGGAACTTTAGGAGATAGGATTTACCTTTCTAGATACCTATTAAAATGTTTTATTACAAGAGAAAAATATTTATGTAATACTACAAAAGAAAACTAACTTATCTGTTTTGAAAATGCCATGCCTGATTAGAGACAATTATTAAAGCTAATTACAGGGTTCCTGTAAGTTACTTTAGAGGATGGGGAAGAATTAAGTTTTTTAATTATAACCACAATGGTGGACAAGCAGAGATCATTGTTTAAAAAGAAAAAAAACATTGATTTGTTTGTGCTCCTTCTTTGTAATTGTAGTGGGGTTTGAGGAGAGGGAATTTGCTGTTGCCCCATCCCTGGACACCTGCCTCTCAACAAAGGATCTTGGTCACCCCCCACTGCCCACATTTAGATTCACCTTTTACTCGTGTGTGCCACGTCTGCTCATTATACAGTTCTCCAGGGATCCAATTTTCCCCTGAGTTAATCACCCCTCGCCTTTTTCAGAAATTGTTAGATTACCATCCTTTCAAAGAATATACACCTTCTTGAGTTTCTTCTTTCTCCTTTTCTTATTTCTATTTAAAAATGTAGCCACTTAGAGTCTCAACATACTACCTTTAAAACTTTTAAAAATTTAATCCTTACAGAGAAGTGCATAAATCTAAGTGTATAGCTTGATGGATTTCACAGTGAACACACCCATTTAACCAGAAAGCCTCTGGTTTTGTTTTTTTGTTTGTTTTTTGAGATGGAGTCTCACTGTGTCACCCAGGCTGGAGTGCAATTGTGCGATCTCGGCTCACTGCAACCTCTGCCTCCTGGGTTCAAGCATTTCTCCCGTCTCAGCCTCCCTAGTAGCTAGGACTACAGGCGCACACCACCATGCCTGGCTAATTTTTGTATTTTTAGTAGAGATGGGGTTTCACCATATTGGTCAGGCTGGTCTCAAACTCCTGACCTCAGGTGATCCACCTGCCTCGGCCTCCCAAAGTGCTGGGATTACAGGCGTGAGCCACAGTGTCTGACCCAGAAAGCCTCTTATGACTTCTTCCAGTTACCACTAACTCCTCATTTCCCCCACCATCATAGGGTAGTTTTGCCAGTTACATTTTGCGTAACGGGTAATCATACAGTGTGTTATATTTTTTGTCAGATACTGGTTTTTTAAAACCAGAATCCCTACAGGAACCTAGGCTGTTTGTGCCCATGGTACTGAATAATCAGGTCAACATACAGATGTTTAAACAGCCACAGAATATGAAAATGTTTTAATATACTCTTGGGCAAGGTACTAACCATTTTTGTGTATTCTCTTTTCGTATTTACCATGAGGTATGGTCTAAGCTAACTTTTCAACCAAGAAATAGGTAGCTACTCTAAAGTTCCTATGCATAGAGATGAAGAAAACATAGTAATAAAACTGAAAAAGCCACTTTTTTGAGTAGGTAGAATAATAGAAACGGTTGCACATGAAATAGTAACTATGTGTGAAGAACAATAGCTTCCCAGTAGATTGGCAGTTATATTTGCAAGTCATTTCTAATTTATTATTTTTAAATAAAAAATGGCATCATGGAATATATATGAATGGGTTGTCTTTTTGTACAATTAATATATTACAGGGGTTCAAGATAGGTTAGATTAAGAAAGCTGATTCATCTTGTCATTATTTCTGTCTTGTCTGATTTGCTTTGATTGATTTCAAAATTTCTTAAAATGTCTATAAGATACCCTGGAATACAGGTGGCTTCGTTAGAAATGTATACCTGTTTTTCCCCTAAATAGGATTTGTTAAGTGCCAGTTATTACCCCCATTCCTCAAATCTGAAACTGTTTAATCTCCCAATTCTAGCAAACAACCCTGGTCCTTCTGAGTAAGAAATTAAAATGTGATTAAGATTTTTGTCCCCACTCATGAGAATTTTAGATAGAATTTTTTTAAATTAGGAATATCTGAATAGCATATAGCCTACTGTACTTTACATAGAGTGTGGAATTAAATTGTTTTGTTCAGAAATTACTTAGCATACAGATAGATTCTGCATAAGCTGTTCAGTAGACATACAGAAATGGAGGAACTATCTCTGACCACTAGGCAGAATCCTTATCTTTGGATTTTAGGGACAGTCTAATAGACTACTGGTACCCAGTAAATATGAAGTGGTATAATACCTGACATACTTTAATAGAAAACCATGGTGAGTTCACAATATTGTATAACCTTTTTATCTATTTTAAAATTATGTAACTCACTAATCAATTTTGAACAGGCAGTTACTAAATATAATTAAATTGAGGGCATTCATATCACAGAACAAAGGGAAGCATTTTCAGCAAGTGAACAAGAGACTAGTGAGACAGCTAAAGAAAATTTTATTGGGGTGGGGAGTGGATTTTAGTAGGGTTTTTTGTTTTGTTTTTCTTTTTTCTTCTTTTTTTAAATTATTTACTTCTAGAAGAACAATACAAGCATACAGGAAATATAACATGCCTTTTAAAACAAAGACAAATGCTTCCCATCTTTGGCTGCCATTTTTGACCCAAAGAACACTTGTTTTAAGCAAGAGAGTAGATGCTCCTGTTACAAACTGTAGGTGGAATTCCAGGCTTCCTCGGACCTTCAGTCTGCAACAAAAACTTTGGACCAGGAAACAGCAATAGAACATCAACACAATACATTTGTGTTGTGGGGTTACTGAAATATTGAAATAAATATTCCTTTAAGTTAATCTCTTCCAAACAATCAAATGTAAAATGATTAATAGCCTTTTACATTTGGATACAGCAGTATTTTTTAAAGCACTTTTAGTCTGATCTCATTTGACATGGAGAACACCTTTCTATTAGTCTGCCTCAGCTGCCATAACAAAGTACCATAGACTGGGTGGCATAAACAAAACGTATTTCTCACAGTTCTGGAGGCTAGCAAGTCCAAGATCGAGGTGCTGGTTGACTCGGTTTCTGATGAGGGCTGTTTTCCTGGCTTGCAGACAGCCTCCTTCTTGCTGTGCCTTCATATGCTCCTTCCTGTATGTGTGGGTGCATGTGGAAAGAGATCGCTCTCTAACCCCTTCCCTTTAAGGCCACCAGTCCTACTGGATTAGAACCCCACTTTTATGACTCCATTTAACCTTAATTACCTCCTAAAAGCTCTGTGTCTAAGAACAGTCAAATTATGGGTTAAGGCTTCAACATATTAATTTGAGGGGGACACAATTCAGTCAACAGCAAACCTCCTGAAGCAGAAAAGAAGACATAACTGCTGTTTTAGAGATGAACTAACCGATACACCTAATGTTAGAAAGTTAGTAAAATATTACAACTAAGGTTCAGATAGTTATTTTTATCCAACTCCACACTGCTTTCTTAGCTAGTTTATCTGACAAAAGCCAAACAAACAAAATACATTTCCCTGCTGCTTACAAAATAGAAGTCACTAGTTGATTGCAAAGAATCACCAGAATTAACTTCATGCTTTTCCATGTTGCATGGTTGTGAAAAATGGGATTGATTTTGACTTAAAATGTATAAGAAATGGTATGTTCTAGATTTTTCAGTCAGCTAAAGTCAGGTTACTTTAACACTACTGTCAAAAGTACTAGGCTAAATTTTTAAGTGATAGGTAAGTTAGAATTGTAGTGACCAGGCTGGCGTTGCCTTTTTAGCATTCTTCAAGGTTACAACTAAAGTATCATGCTTTACAATAAATGTCATGTTTTATATTTTACAGAAGATGATCTAAGAAATATAGGACCAGTAGATGCTCAAGTATATCTTGAAGAAATGTCTTGGAATGAAGGTTGGAATTTTTTTTTTTCTTTTGACAACATTAAAAAAATTAGGAATTTTCTATAAGAAAAAAAAACTCATTGGACATTTGGAAATCTTAAAAAGAAATAATAGTGTGGCTTTCTATATATATGTGGTATTTCTGTTTGGAGTATTTCTGTTTAATTCTAAACTTTATTTATTGACTGATATCCTCCTATGTGACTCATTTCCAGTTATTTTTATATTCTAATTAGATGTTAGGAACATAAAGTTTCATAAGAGTTTTTTGTTGTGTTTTTTACTTTAGTTTTTGCATTACTGTCTATGTAGTATTGTAATATGGTAAATAATGTCAAACAAGATAGTTTTTTTTTTCATTCCTTTTAATGTTGACAAGATGAATTCCTCTTAGAATTTTTATTTTCCCTTTATATATAATCATAAACTGTCAGGGCAGGGCTTTTAAGAGGCTTTTTTTTTTTTTTTTTTTTAACTCTCACATACTGGTTGTCTTGTAGGAAGAAAAGAATATCTGCCATTTCCCTTGATGCAACATGAAGTCATGTCTTTTTTGCTTTTCTGTTACTAAAATTTTAGAACTTAAATCCAATGTAGTTTCCCCATTCTTCTGATGGTTCCTTGAATTGTTCTGGTTAGACATCATTAAATTGGGAAACACCCTTTACTAAACGGAAGCCATGAGTACCATACTTACTTGTTTCTCTAGGTAAATGAAGAAAATGTTACTATTTCCTAGAATCTTTAGATACTCTTAACCCTTTAACCTTATTGTGCAGCATGAAGTACAAATTCCCTCAAGGTTTATAAAAATCTACTCATGAGTGTGGATAGGTAGAAGATAAAAACAGAGCCATCTGAAACCAAATTTACTTTTTAAATGGCAAATTCTTAACTTAGTGCCCCTAAGACGTGGGTCACAAGCCATATTAACTTAGAAAGGGAATCACGTCTTTGCCTCTGGGACCATTCTGCCCCCAACCCCTCAAGTGAAATCCTAGAGTAGAAATTCAGTGAATAATTGGTAAAGTTGAGGTTTTGTATAACTGGGGCTCCTAGTGATGGTGACAGCCTCATTAGAGTAAACAGGAAGAAATACTGTGAAAACAATACACTAGTGACACAGACTTTTCACTGCTAGTTTGTGGAAGGGACACTCTAGAACATGTCATTTATCAGGGAGACTTGCCTAACTAAAAAAATATATATGCACATATGTATATATACACATATACTTTTTATTTTTTGCCAAATACACAAACTTCAAGGAGACTAAATATGTTTTGAAAATATAGTTTGTCTCCTTATCAATTGGTATGTATATGTATGTTTGTATGTGTTTAATGTCTTATTAAATTAGTTCTTGCTATAGTTGATATGGGCAATATATTTTATATGATAATGTGAAAATACTGAAAAATGGTTTGTATAATTTTTTTTCCCTTTTAAATATATAACAATATAATGTTAAGATCTTAATTTAACATGAGAATACGGGCTGGGAGCCTGGAATCCCAGCACTTTGGGAGTCTGAGTTTGGAGAATCACAGAGGTCAGGAGTTTGAGACCAGCCTGGGCAACATAGGAAGACTCTGAGAACAGATTGTGAGAGTAGGAAAAATAAAAAATAAAAAATAAAAACAAAACAAAGCAAAAAAATAGCAAGACCACATCTGTACAAAAAATTTTATATATATATATATGTGTGTGTGTATATATATATACACACACATATAAACTTTTAAAAAGGAAAGGAAGAAACATAATATGGATTAGTGGCTTAAGCATCTGTCCGGTCAATAAATACATGGACTTTCTGATACAAGTGAAAATGCTAACATATAGAAGGAAATGTACAACAAAAAATCATCAAGCGTTATCATCAATGTGTTATTGCCCCTGGAACTCCCTAAAGTAAACTTGACAGTAAAGAAGATATAGAAGAATCCAACCCATAGCCAATTAATTAGTAATAAGCAGATACAGTTAATCTTAAAAGTACAGGATGCACTTAGACGCTTAGGTTTTTATAACTAAAGATGGAAATAATTCTAATCTTAATGAGAGAAAATACCGAGCAAGAACTACATGAAACCATTATTCTTGTAGGAATATTTAAAAACAAATCATGGAAGTTTTTATTTTTTTTTCCCAATTAAAAAGAGAAATTTTGGGAGATGAAATTAAATAAAAAGTGTGATCAACTAGGAAAGGAAAAATTTGTTTAAAGATCCCCTTTAGGATCATTTTCAGAATAGCTATGGAAAGTGAAGATCTGAAACAGGAGAAAAGTTCATGAAACCCTATAGGATAGACACAGCCAAATTGTTGGTTGCCTGATCAAAGGGCAGTATGAAATGATCCTTTTTATTATGCTTAAAAGGCGTATGTGAGTTGTGCAGATATTGAAGCTAATCTTCACCCTTAGTCGTTATACGGCTTGGTCATTTTGTTGGCCTTCATTCAGAGTATTTAAAATGATGGTTTCTGTGAAAGTTATCACCTGGTTAAAAGCTTGATGGTATAATAATAATAATATAAGCAGAACTTTTACAAGATGTGAATTTTTAGTGAGCATTATTTGGAGTCATCTATGACAAAACTCCACAGTAGCCCATGGTGTCCTCTGTGTCATTTACCAAGAACATGTCAACTCAAATTGTTTTCCAGTGTTCACTGAGGTGGTAAAAAAACAAGGGGGTAGGGGGAGATTTAGCTTAGGAAAATCAATGGTTAGAATACGTACATTTTTAGACAATTTAATAATTTAAAAATTCACTTTCAGAATATGCTCTAGTACGTAGATGTTGGCTTAGGGAAGATGTCTGCATTTTGAATTCAGGATTAAATTATTTTTCTGTATGGAGAACAAAGGCATTGTGGTAAAGAAAAAAAAGCTGGATTAGGTGAATGAATTCATTTTCCTTACTGATTAAAAAAGAAAACACATAAAGTTAGCTTATTTAATTGCCAGTTTTTCCAAGGCTGAACTTGTAAGAGAGCAGGTACAAGGCAGTTGAATTTTGCCTTTTTAAACTACATATGATATGATCTATGTAATCAAATTTGATAATTGAATGAAGATATTTGATTGTATGAAATCATGAGTCCTTTGAGACTTATTTTCTAATAATCAATTATGATGGTGGTAAAATAATGTGATTGATAAGTTATTTTCCTTTGACAGTTACTTCTCAGAGACAGTAAAATGGAATGACCAATGGATCAGAGATTCTTTTAAGTCAAAGGGCACAAGCATTTCAACTTCCCAGGAAAATGACACACTTAAAATTTCCACGATTAGGAGCCTAAGTATTGCACTGTATTGCCTCCTTTGGGCATCTCACTTCAGCATTTTGTTGGTTCATGTGTCATTTGTAAAAATCAAACAAACAGAAACACATACATACCCCACAGGATTAAAAAAAAAACAACCAAAAACCATGGTGTTGTGTTTATAGACTTAAGATTCTTGAAATAGTGTGACACTAGAAGTGTCCAGATGTTGCACTTGATAAACAGTCTGGTTTTCTCTAAAGGATAGACTTCAGGCAAAAGCATCATCTTCCCTAACAGTGAGACAGGTAGGGCTGTTTTTCTTTTTCCTTCACTGTAATATTTTAGACAAATACATTGTTGAAAAAAATGTAAAATTTATATGAATTTTAAGAAAACAGAAAACTTCAACTAAGTTTCGTGGGTTGCTTCTGAGCATGCCCTCTCCTCCCAAAATCCTTGGACTTTTAATTCATAGCTTCAATCCCTCTCCTCTACAGAGCAAGATTCTTTGGTAGGTAATTTTTATAAACATTGCCCTTTTCAAGAAATCTAGTTCTCCTTTAAATACATTTTATCTTTACTGAGCTTCTTTGTTTTGTTTTACAATTTCTATGGAATAAACTCTGCACCTTTTAAGAGTATTAGTGAGATAGTTACTTACAAGTCTTTGAAACATTATTTTGTTTTCTTTTGCAGATGATCACTCTTTTTATCTGAGTTGCAGATGTGGTGGAAAATACAGTGTTTCCAAAGATGACGCAGAAGAAGTTAGCCTGATTTCTTGTGATACATGTTCATTAATTATAGAACTGCTTCATTTATAACTAAAATTGTTCACAACTTGAAATGCTTTAACTGTGGTATTGAGACATGATGAGGAGAGGCCATTGGGCTTTGTCCATTCAAGGAAATGGATTTTTTGTCAGCCCTATTATTTGCAAAGAAAATATATAATTATCAAGCAGAGACCACCTCAGATTAATAGAGAATATAATTATTTATTTGTATTTATAATTTATATTTACAAGTTGTCACAAAAAAAGATTTGATTTGGTGAATTCTATCTGGGAACTTTATGATGCCATTTTTTTTTCCATGACACAAAATAAGAATTTTCTTAATATGAGCATGTCTCCTCTTTTGAGTGGGCAACAGTATCACCATATTCCTTTATAGTTAATAAGTTTCTGATCTAACAGATAATGTTTATAGTTGCTAAAGTTATAGGCCTGTTGTACACCTATAATCTTTGTGAATAATGTGAGGCCAGTTCTCCCATAAGGAAGGCTGGTTATGGATATTCATAAGGTTATTTCAAAGTTAATGAAGACAAAGTGGCAACTATAGAAAGTGTTGACTCCAATCTTGGCCCTGTATTTCCAAAGCTTGTAAACACTGCCATCTTCAAATTTAAACGTAATTTAGGAAATGGAAGCTTTATTTTTTAATTTTAATTTTTATTTCTTTTTCTAAGAGTCTCACTCCATTGCCCCAGCTGGAGTGCAGTGGCATGATCTCGGGTCCCTGTAACCTCCGTCTCCTGGGTTCAAGTGATTCTCCAGCCTTAGCCTCCCGAGTAGCTGAATTACATGTGCCCACCACCATGCCCAGCTAATTCTTGTATTTTTAGTAGAGATGGGGTTCCACCATGTTGGCCAGGCTGGTCTCAAACTCCTGACCTCAGGTGATCCACCTGCCTCGACCTCCCAAAGTGCTAGGATTACAGGTGTGAGTCACCATGCCTGGCCTAAGTTTTGTCAGTAGAGACAGGATTTCATCATGTTGGCCAGGCTGGTCTCGAACTCTTGGCCTCAAATGATCCACCCATGTCAACCTCCCAAAGTGCTGGGATTGCAGGCGTGAGCCACCGTGCCTGGCCAGAAGCTTTTTAAAAAATAATGATTTGAAATTGGTGCATTATTCCTCTTTCTATTTTGGAGTGTTAAGATATAATACTGGGGCCAGGCATGGTGGCTCACATCTGTAATCCCAGCACTTTGGGAGACTAAGGCAGGCAGATCACCTTTGGTCAGGAGTTCGAGACCAGCCTGGCCAACATGGTGAAACCCCATATTTACTAAAAATAATTTTTAAAAAATTAGCCAGTCATGTTGGTGCGTGCCTCTGGTCCTAGCTACTCGGGAGGCTGAGGCACAAGAATCGCCTGAACCCAGGAGGGAGAGGCTGCAGTGAGCAGAGGTTGTGCCACTGCACTGCAGCCTGGGCTATAGAGCAAGACTCTGTCTCAAAAAAAAAAAAAAAACAGATGTAGTATTAATGCCTATATTTATGAAGATGGAGCCATGGCACTGCTGCTCTGATGAAATGAACTTTTATAAAGTATTATTGACTATAGCCAACTATAGATGGCATATGACTTAAAGATGCATTTTTCTATGTATTTAATATTTTGTGTACAATAGAAGTCAGAACTCATTTAAAGAACTTTAAGGGATCCTTTAGAAACATTTTTACTTAATTTCAAATGAGTGGGCTGAGCATGTAGACTAGCAGCTTTTTATCAAACCTGGCATTGTCAGGTTGAACTTATAAATACGAATAGTTACTACTCTGACTTGTAAATGTAGCTGCTAAAGTATGAGGCATATTTAAGAAGAATAGATTAGTTTCATTACACCTATAAGAACAAGAATTCAAAAGTGAGGTAGTCATCCAGGTTCCCCCTCCCTAAGTATTTTTGTATCATAAAATTTAGATGACCTTTTTGGGTTACATTTTCATCTATATATTTTGAATTAACAGAACTAACAGAATGTGTGTTGAATATTCTTTACATTTAACAATAAAAAACAACTAAAACTGAATAGCAAATAGTTTATTAGTACATGGTTTCAACGGGAGTAATAAATTCACATGAAAAGGAGACAATAATCAAGTCAAAAGAATAAATGATTACTAATCATCAGAAAATCTGTGGCCATTAGGGCTGGCACGTAAAAATCCAAAATCACTCAGAGGCCAAATCTGTAAAACCAAAATGAGGTTGAAGACAATTAGTGAAAGTAATGTTATAGTATTATCATATTCCCTTTTGCTATCCGTCCCTTTTCTCTATGCCAGATAAACACTTTCTCCTTACTCATCAATCAAGAATAAAATTTTCCACATCAAAGTAAGATTTGAGAAAATAAACTTATGTATATATATGTTTAAACTCCAAAGTTTGGAACATTCAAACATTGTACACGAAATTATATGTGTGTGGTGTGTGAATACATATGTATGAATATATGGTCTGTGTTTTCTTTTACTACTCGTAAATAAGAGTTAACTGTATACTTTCAACCAAAGGGGTTTAGATTTAAGTACTTGAATATGGCATCTGTTTAAATGTAAACAATCTGGTAAATTATCTAACAGCTCCATGTATTCATGTATGTTTTTCTCCTCACTGACTGTGATAAAAAGGAGGGGCCAGTGAAAACAATAATCTTCCCTAACAATCATATATTCACGATAAGTCTACTGACTCATACTACTCAACTGGGGTATCCATACATACAGGAGTTTGAATCCAGACCATTCTTCTGCACATGCTTATTAAAATATGCCCTGCGCAGGATGTGAACATGGTTTTAAGAGTTGTACAAGACAGAACTGAATTTTTGGAAATTCAAATTAAAATTTTCTTAGGCTATAGCTAAGGTAGTTTGAATTTTATTATTATCTTTATGGGAGCCGGGGCAATGGAGGAATAAGTCTGCATATGGCTATTAAGTTAAAGCCAACAGGTTCATAAAATATATTCAGTGCAACAGTTAAGTACACTGACAGTCTGAAGATTTCAGAGATCATTTTGAGAGAAACTTTTTTTCTAGCTCAGAAAATAAACCTTACATTTTAAGCAGAAAATGGTACCTTAAAGAAGATTCGTCCTCTTATTAGTCCATATGGAATAGGTCCATAGTATCTGGAATCTGTAGAATTCTGTAGATTATCACCTTCTAACCAAACATGACCCATTGGCACCTAGAATTAGAGAAGAAATGCAGCCCCTTTAAAAAAGATAAAACCTAATTTGGGTACTATAATTAAAAAGCATGTCATTCAGAGGTAGGGAGAAATGTCCTAAGGTTCTCTTTTATAGAATAGATACAAATCCTAATCTTGCATTTTTGCTTTTATTTCTTGCACAATAAAATAACTTTTACTAAATATCAAAGGTTTCAACTTTTTAAAAAACCTATCTTTTTTCATCATATGGTTCCCAAATATTAATTTGTTATACAAACCCCAAACTGAGGTTATAAGAGATCAAAACAGTGTGACAGGGTCATTAATTTAATAGACTTCAAAAGAGGTCATTAGGATGCTGACTGAAAATGTGCCCTTATGTCTCAATAACAGCATAAGCAGGGCAGTCACTCAGCAACATCCTGGGGCCAATACCAAGGCCAGACCTATTAGAATGCTCATGATGAACTAAATGGTAATTGATTGTGACATCAATTACAAATAATCTCATCATTTTATTGGAGTGGGCTTGTCAGAATTCTAATTAAGATCCCTGTTCTGCCTTTGTACAGGCCATATCTTCAATGCATTATACTTCAATAATGACCATGAAGAACCAGAAGGACCTATTATAAAATCATCAGTTGTAAAATTAATGATGGTGACCTTCTCCTAAATGAAAAGACTATCTCTTATAATGTTCTATGTATAAACTGGTAAATTACAAGATTTCTACTCAGTGACAATCATATTTAGAACAGAATATGTTGCTTTTTTTTTTAAAGCCGCCTGCAATATGAGACATTTGCCTATTACTATCTGTTCAATGTAAACTAAAAAACTTACTTTCCAGAAACAATCTTTAAAATTGCTTTTTAAAAGTTTTTATTTTACAGTTTTGTTACCTAAGACAGTTGAATTATTGACCAGACCAAAATGATCTATATATGGGGAAGGAATTTATTTTCACTAATTTGACTGGTTTTACTTGTAAACCTTTTATAAAGAAAAATATCACTACCGGATTTAGTAAGAGATAATGCAACTCTTTTTTTAATCACAAATTACTTTCTTGAAAAGTAAATGTATACAAGAATGTAAAATTTGAATTTCACTTACATAAGCGATTTTAAGATTCTCGAAGGTCTTACGTACAAATATTTGCCAAAAACCTCCAAATTAACTCTGCATTTAGATACATTTAAATGTTAAATCTATTTGTAGAAAAAGGACATAAGTTTACTGAAAGAATGTCAGAAAATATATGATCATTCACTTTTATTATTATTACTGGAACTAGTTTGTCCAAGGGCCAATAGCAAGGCCACTTCTTTGCTATCTAATAAAATAGACATATGTGCAGTAAAGCATAAGACTGCTCTAGTAGAAAAGTGTGTACATCACAGTCATCAAAAAAGGAACAAAATAGTGAATTTGGAAAAGCCATATGTAATAAACATTCTGAAGCGTTACTTTGATGAAGCTATAAGGTGAACATCTTTCATGTTTAAATGTCCATGGTTTCTCCCTAAAATGTGTTTTTTCCTGAGTTCTAAAAACAGGTAATGTAAATGAATAAATAAAACCATGTAGTTATGGACACCAGTAAAAGTAAAAGAAAAACATTCTACAAACTAATAAGGCAACATACCAACAATCTAGGGATATCTTTGTCTGACCATCCCATTGACGGTAAACCAGGATCCGTGGTTTATACATTCCATCTTCTCATAAAGCTTTCCCTAAACTTGCCTGCCCATACCAACCTGATTGTTTCCAGCTCTTAACATATAAAGTCAGCCTTGCTTGGGGCCCTACATTATAACCTTTATTATTATTTTTACCCTGCTTGCCTTTTCTGTCAGTTTTTACTATTTTATATCAGAATAAACCAACAGACAGTAATGCCATGATTTTTGATTTTACTTTTTTGAGTGTTAATGACTTTTATTACATTACAGTTTGGTGCAAAAATAACTGCAGTTTTTGCTCCAAAATAAATTTAGTGGCAAAAACCAATTACTTTTGCACCAACCTAATAGATTTTTGCCAACATGCTTGGCGAAAAATGATACCTTTGTCTTATGAGTGAGGCTGAATCTCTTTTCGTGTTTAAGAGGTGTCTAGTTCCTTCTCTGTGATATATTTTTGCATGTCTTTTGCCATTTGGCTACTGGGTTAATCTCTTTTTTTCCCTTCATTTCATAAGCACTCTTTAAATACTAGGGAGATTAGCCCTTTGTGGTACAAAGAGCAAATATCCCCAGTTTTTCATTTCTCTTATCAGCCTTTGCTTTCACGTTTTCTGAATTCTGAGTCTTTGTTAGAAAGGTCTCATGGTTTCTTCTTTTACATTTAACTATTTTATTCTTTGGGAGTACATCCTGACAAATGGTTGTAAGGCTTGGATGAATGTTTTTTATTTTTGTAAATAATAACTAATTTAATACCTTGGTAATATTTTTCTGTGCATTTATTTGATTGTTGGCAGTGTAGAATATTCTGTGTGTTTTCTGATTGCATTTAATATCCAGTGAATAGTCTGTGCCTACTTTTGCATATATTAGTCTTTGGGATCTCAATTGTGCTATCTGCATGTATTTCTTCTATACTACAGACAGGATTAATACATTTATCACAAATACTTTTCCCAATCTGTTTTTTGTCTTTTATATTTATGTTTCACAAAGTTTTTAGTTTTTTATACAGTATTTACTTTTATATCCATATGCTTTTTAAAAGATGATTTTAATTATTTACAGTACCTAAACCAAAAGTGGAACTCAAATATTTGCTGGTGGTTAAATACTTGTAAGTAGAAATTCTCTGAAAGCACAATGATAACTGCCATTAACTAGGTCACTTCTGTAGCAGTTATGACCTGAGTTTCTTTCAAATTAGCGATGTACGATGAAGTATCATCTCTGGAGTTAATTTTTTTTTTTTGAAACGGAGTCTTGCTCTGTCACCCAGGCTGGAGTGCAGTGGCGCGATCTCAGCTCACTGTAACTTCCACCTCCTGGGTTCAAGCAATTCTGCCTCAGCCTTCCAAGCAGCTGGGATTAGAGGTACCCACCACCACACCCAGCTAATTTTTCTATTTTAGTAGAGACAGGGTTTCACCACGTTGGCCAGGCTGGTCTTGAACTCCTGACCTCAAGCAACCCACCCACTTTGGCCTCCCAAGGTGGTGGGATTACAGGCGTGAGCCAACAGGCCCAACCATCAGTGGAGTAATATAATTAACAACTACAGAAAGTAATCATCTAAAAAAAAAAAAACCTAGACCATATCACCAGGAGCCTTTCATTTGAGACTTAAAATAACCTGTGAAGTACTAAATTTGATATTTAGTCAAGAAAAAAGAAATAGGTTCAAATATGAGACATGCTAACTCCTCGTTATCTGAAATCCATACACGTTAATGACCATGCATCCATTTACAGTAAAGGGATAATGCCTACATCTCACAGACAACACTTGATGTAAAGTACACAAATCAAGGAAACAGCTGTATCACTGATGTTACCTTTAATCTAACAAGATCTCTATAAACAAGAAAACCTCCAAGTACAGATCATTTAAAATCAAAGCAGTCACCTTTGCTGATCCACCTCTATAAATTACAGGTTGAGTATCTCTTATCTGAAATGCTAGAGACCAGAAGTGTTTCAGGTTTCAGATATTTAGATTTTGGAATATTTGCATATACATGAGATATCCAGGGGAAGAGACCCAAGTCTAAACATGAAATCCATTTATGTTTCATATATACCTTATACACACAGCCTGAAGGTAATTTTATACAATATTTATAATTTGTCCAAGGAACAAAGTTTTGACTGTGTTTTGACTATGACTTGTCATGTGAAGTCGTATGTGGAATTTTCCACTTGTGGCATCACACAGGCACTCAAAAAGTTTCAGATTTTGGAGCATATTGGATTTCATATATTCAGCTTAGGGATGCTCAACCCATGCTCAGTTTACCGGTACAAAAAATTATGTTTGCAATTACTCCTCCTTTTAAAAATATAATTATTTTTGGTATGGGGGAAAAGAGTGAATACTTCATCTTACTTTAAAAATCAACTTATAGAGGTATATTTTATATACAGTAAAATGCACCTGTTTTAAGTTTTGACACAAGTTTTGAAAAATGTACATACCCATCTAACCACAACCACAATGATACAGGATGTTTCTTCTATGCTGAAAAGTTCCCTTCTGTTCCTTTGTAGTCAGTTTCCTATTTGCCTAGACCCAGTCAACCAGTGATCTGCTTTCTGTTCCTAGAGAGTAGTTGTGCCTGTTGCTTAATTTCATATAAATGGAATTACAAAGTACCTATTTTGTGTCTGCCTTCTTTGGCTTAGCAAGATTTTATGATTAATCTATGTTGTATGTAGAAGTCATTCATTTTTTACTTCTGAGTATTCCACTATAAACCACAATGTTTATCTATGAACCTGGAGGTGGATACTTGGGTTGTTTGCAGTTTGGCGCTAGTAAAAATAAAGCACTCTGAACAGTCCTGTACAAGTCTTATTTCTTTTCAGTAAATATCTAAAGGTGGAATTTCTGGGCCATCAGTAAGTCTATGTTTAACCTTAAAGAAACTACCAAACTTTTTCAAAGTGATACTATTATATACTCCCAACAACCAATGTATGACTGTGTTCCTGTTCCACTACCTCTCCAGCACTTGGTATTATCAGTTTTTAAATGTTTTGCCATTCTAGTAGGTGAAGAATATTAAATTGTGGTTTTAATTTGCACTTCTCTGATGAAGGCATTTTTCCATTGTACATACTAGTATTATCTTTCATGAAGTATCTATTAAAATATTTTGGCCATTTAAAAAATAGGTTATCTTCTTACTCATTGTACCAGTCCTTTATTTACCATGGATACAAGTCCTTTGATGGGATTGCAAATATTTTCTCCCAGTCTGCATCTTTTTAAATGATGTTTTGACAAGCAACGGTTTTTAATGTTGCTGAGGTCCAATTCATAATTTTTTTCCTATTGTGTTTTGTCCTTTTGGTGTCCTAAGAAATCTTTACCTGCCCCCAAATTATGAACATATTATACTATATTCTACAAATTTTATAGCTTTAGCTTTGGTTAGGTATGTGAACCATTTTGAGATAACCTCTGACATGATGTGAAGTATTTGTTGCATCTGTTTTTGTTTCCTTTTTTCCTCCTTTCTATTGGATTATTTTTCTGAATTTCATTTTGTTTATTCGGTTGCCATATTTAATATAGATCTTATTCTTGAAGTTGTTACTCCAGGGTTTACAATATGCATCATTAATTACAGTCCACCTTTTCTTAAGGTATAACTATCTTCACATATTACACCACTTCATGTAAGGTAATAAAGGAAAGAATTTTGCAACAGCATATTTTCATCCTTACCAGTGAATACAGAATTCTGGATTGACAGTGTTTCCCCACTTAAAACTTTAAAGACTTCATTTTGTTTTCTTCTTGCTGTTTTTTATAATAGATCAGCAGAAATTCCTTATTCTCAGTTGTATGTAATATATTTTTCTCTGGTAGTTTTTAAGATTTTCTCTGTCTTCCCTGGTTTGATTTTCCTTGTATTTATTTGGCCAGAACTTCTTTCTGTACTTCTTGGATCTCTGATTTATCATTTTGAACAAAATTGGAAAAAAATGTATAGATCAACTTCTTTTCTACCCACTACCCTGGGGCTTCCATAGCCTTCATGTTAATCTGTTTGACCTGTCCTATGGGTTATTCTTTTTATTTTTTTCCAGACTTTTTTCTTTCCTTCAGCTTGTATACTTTTCATTGCTGTCTTCAAATTCCCAGAACTTTTCTTTTGTAATTTCTAATCTACTACTGTAAAGACTACCAAATGTATTCTTAAGCTCTAAAAATTACATTTGGTTCTTTCTTATGCCATTTACTTTCTCAATATGTTCATCTCCTCTAAATCCTCAAAAATAGTTAGAATTGGTGTTTTAGAGTGCTTCTCTGCTAGTTCCATAATTTCTGTCATTTATGGGTCTATTTAACTGATTTACTTTTGATTATGTGTTACATTTTCCTGCTTCTTCACATATGTGGTAATTTCTGATAAAACTGAACACTCATTTGCTGAGTAGATTTTGTTGTCTGTTTTTATAGAGTGTTGAATGTTGAGGGAGTCTGGTTTCTGTGAGGTAGTTAAGTTAGCGGCAGTCACCTTATTCCTTTCAAGCCTTGTTTGTAAGCCTGCTAGGTTGGGTCTCTATCTTACATTTTATCTTAAGGGCTATTTTAGTCCTACTACTAAGGCTTGATTTTTCCAGAGTCTCTACTGAATGTTCTGGATATCAACAAGATCTGTCCACGCTGGCTGGTCAGAACACAAATGTCTCTCAGCTCTGTGTGAGTTATGGGACTTTTTTGATTTAAAGCTCCCCAGTAGTCATTCATTACTCAGTCTCTTTAAGTTTCACCATAAGCAGGCACAATTTAGTATTGAGCCCAAAAGCCAAGGGAATATCTACGTAGATTTCTGGAGATCTTTCTGTAGCTCTTTCCTTCATGGTAGTCGGATTTATAAATCCCAACCACTTAAGCATACCTGTACCCCAGTCTTTGTCTCAACTCAGCAAGACCACCTGTGCTTTGCTTGACTTCCCCTCCTTGCACTGTTGTCTGAAAACTGCTTTAAGATAGAAGTTGGGGCAAGTGGAGGCTCATTTTGTTTCCTTTCTCTCAAGGATCAGTTTCATACTGCCTGCTATGCAATGTATTAAAACAGTTGTTTCACGTATTTTTGTCCAGTTTTCTAGTTTTTTATGGCAGGAGGGCAAGTTCATGACCAGTTATTCCATCACTGCCAGAAGCAGATGTTCAAATTACATAATTAAAAAAAAATTTTTTTTGAGACAAAATGTTACTCTGTCGCCTAGGCTGGAGTGCAGTGGTGCGATCTTGGCTCACTGCAACCTCTGCCTCCCGGGCTCAAGCGATTCTCCTGCCTCAGCCTCCCGAGTAGTGAGGATTACAGACATGTACCACCACGCCCACCTAATTTTGGTATTTTTAGTAGAGATGGGGTTTCAACATGTTGGCCGGGCTGATCTCAAACTCCTGGCCTCAAGAGATCTGCCTGCCTCAGCCTCCCCAAGTACTGGGATTACACGCATGAGCCACTGCGCCCAGCCTTAAAATATGTATTTTTCAGCATACTTGGAACAATATAAAGAGAATCATTTCAGTGAAGACTAAAATTTTTGGTGAAGTGTGCTTTGGCATCTCCATCTTGCATCCCCTTCAGTGGCGTCTCCTTTATGTTGTTTTACCCTTTCCCTATCAAAATCTCCGGAAAAGATTTACCAAACTCAGCAGGCAATTATTTACAAACAAGGAAATTCACTGTGGTATTTTCTGCATCTCAAGACTGGCAATGGTATAAATGTTCCTCAGTAGGCAAAGGTTAAATAGAGTATCTTTCTTTTATCTATTAGTAAACAGCCAGTAAAAATAAATACATAAAACTAATGGAAAGATTTCCATGAGATAGCCAGTGAAAAAAATAAGTTGCAGGGCAATGTGTATAATTGTAAAATTTTTTAAATATATATTTCAAAATAAACATTTTTTATGATCAGTACATACTATTTAAGTAACTTAAAGTATATATATGTATATATACACAGAAATATATGTGTATGTGTGTCTTAAAATACAAACTGCTTAACCCTTTCGGTGATGTTCATACTTTTAAAAGGGAGCATCATCCTTCATGATGCAGGTTAGGGGGAGCATGTTGAATTTTTTTAAAAGGTGTTTCCGGGTTGGGCTTTTCTTTTTTTTTTGTCTTTGGTAGTGTGGAAAGAGAGTTAACCTAACCTCTAATCCATATAGTAGGACATGCTTCTTTGTATAGTACAAGTAAATGACTTGCACTATACAATTCACAGTACTGTCATCAAATCTATAGATGACTAAAATATTAATCTAGCCAA